CCCCAAAACCCCAAAACCCCAAAACCCCATATAAAGTTATTAAGGTTGGCTAATATAATAAAAATGTTCGTGCTGATATACTCGTTCGCCATTTGAGTCACATTGGCAGCCTCGATGCATAAACAAGGATGTTATGAGGGGTACTACCAAGCTGATGGATGAAGACCTTGACATAGTTCATGAAAGACCTGATCAGGCCCTTATAGTTGAGACACATGCCAAGATTATATGTTTCTCCACCAAGAGCCGGTTCATGTTGAAGGGGTTCATCCTGAAGGAGTCGAAGGCAAACTTTGAGACAAGTGCTCACAAGGTGAATATTATGATAAAACAGGGAGAGTTTGAAGGAGCTGTAATGGAAAATGAAGTTTTGAATGAGGTTATCAAGATTTTTGCTTCAAATGAGGCGCAGATCAAGTATTTGATTATGAAGAGATGGGATGAATTAACTTATCAGATTGCATCCTTCCAAAATATCTATTGTCTAGCGATCAATATACGCTTACAACCATATGCAGAAATTTGAATTATTATATTGATCCTTTTAGTGATAAAAATATAGAACTAGGTACCAAAGATTTCCCCTACCGTTCATTCACCTTATTAAGTTCTGAGTTGGTTAATATTCTTTCTAATTCCAATTACAATGTGATAATCTACACTAATGACGCTTACTTGAAACATGGAGAATTATCTCTAATAAATTTGACTAGTGTGAGCCTCAAACCACTGCTTGATTATGCCCCAATATACCAAGAGGATTTACAGAAGAGTAAGTAAATTACCCAGCTTTATTAACATTTAAATTTGATGATGTATAATCTAGAGTTTGACACATTATTTAGAAACATTCAATAAACCTTTACTGATTCCTACTCACTTTGACCAACACGGGATCACCGAAAAAGCTCATTTTCATGCTCTAAAGAGCACTCATACACAAGCTGAGAGAGTTTTAGATGAAGGAGGTTTCACCGATTATGAAGTCAATACTTTCACATTAAAAACAGCAACTATTAAATCTCTCAGAACTTCTATCGAGATTGATGGCATTGATTTCTATAGTGAAGAAATTGATTATAATCAGCCAAATATACTTATTTTTCCAATTTATTTCCAAAATAGGTTGCTCAAGATAAGTAAGATTTCCTCTAACTTTTCATAGCCAATTGAAACTTTAATGTAACTGGAGAAGTAGTCTCTACTCACGATCCTTACAACGTTTATTTAAAGAATATTGTTGTGGAAGGATATACCCTACGTCACTTCGTCTCAGATTGGCCAGCCCAATGAAATTACCCAGAAGCATTTGTACATGCTACCTTCTTTGCTCAGAACATTTCATATGTTATTTATAAAGATAGGACTACGACAAAGATCTCAGAATTCTTAATATCCTCTGGACCTTCTAATGTAACATATGAAGATATCGATATGGGTAAATTTTATATTACTCCAGGGGATGGAGTCTCAGCATGCAGTGTTGGTGTTGAGTCTTCATGAGTCCCAAATGACGAGGGTATTCAAACAATAAATTTTCATGGGTTTAAAAGCCAATTGGAGAACCATATCGCTCCCACTAACAAATATATCTTAAATGCAGTTATGTCCTTTATTCCTCATTACAGAAGCTTGGTAATGAATTATACAAATTTCGAGTATCGCGACTTCCGAAATTACGAGCCAACTATTCTTATGGGTTTTATATGCAACCCTATTGATAGGATAACTCTGAGTAATTTTAATGTACTAAATGCGAGATCTTTAAGTCAATTTTTTGGATTTAACTCCTTTTCCTCTCTATCTTTATCAAATTTTGTGTTCCAAGAAATCTATGACACTCACAAGCTTTTATATTTAAACTTGAACATCAAGGTGAGCTTGAGTAACATCACGATTCAAAATTATTCAACAAGTAAGAAAAGAACTGGTGGAGACATACTCATCAATCCCCTTCCAGTGTCTGAGATTATTATTGATGGACTACATTTACAAAATTGTAGCATCGTAACGTTTCCTTTGGTACAACTTTCAATTCAGCCATTGGGGTTTGTCATTAAGAATAGCATTTATGAAAACATACTGATGGATGGAAGTATTCCCCTTTTAAAGCTTGCCTCAATAGCTTCTTTTGAGATCTTAAACCAGACTTTATCTGGAGTTAAAGTTAATGAAGGCGATGAACCATTGAATAGTTTCATTGAAATTACCCATATGACTCTTCTTCCATCTTCAGTTAACTTTGTTGATAATATCAGAATGGAGGAAGCAGATATATCTCTGATTAAATTCAGCAAAGTAGTGTCCCAAGCTGAATCTAAAGTTCTATCAATAAGTAATTTGGATATATCGAGCACAAATTTTCAAAGATCTAGATCAATATAATTTCAACAGAAGGATTCGAAGTTGATGGAGATATCCAGCTAACATTCCAAAATTTCACTGTCAGAAATATTAGTTTTGTAACAAGTGGCCAAATCCTTCAACTCAGCCATCGTTTGTTAAACCCTATTATGGTTAAAGACTCATTGTTCGAAAATATTTCATCAGGAACCATCAGCATGCAAATACTCGATGATTCAGATTCAAAACCAAAAAGCAAACTCAGAATGGAGAACTGAACATTCAGAGGAATACTGAACACAATCAAGCCATTCATTGACTTCTCCAAGAACGGGCACTTCGAGATTACCAAGAGCAATTTCTCAGAAATCACATCCGTCAGTGAGAGTTTTGGAATAGTCTACCTGTCTGGTAACTCGTTTGGGTCGTTTGCACACTGAGTGTTTACCAACAATTCTGCGCTCTCATCGACAGTTTTCAAGGTGGAGTCAAAGTCTATGTTAGGATGCAGCCAATGTAGCATTGACTCCAACTTTGCACTTAAGTATGGAGTCTTTGAAATCGCCTCAGGTAGTCGGATTATATTGAAAAACTCTCAGATATATCAAAATTTTGCAATTCAAAACTCGATTGGATCAATCTTAGAAACGGTTGATACATCTGAGTTTGTAAACTGATCGATTTTTGAGAATTCTGTTGTTACAAATAACAAAGTCATCCAGGAAGTGCAAGGGACATGCACCGAATTTTGAATGATGAGTAACGATTTGAAAGAATATCTTAGTAAGATTAAATATTTACCCTTCTAGCCCAAAACCTTGGATTGATAGATAAGGAAGAGATCTCAATTTTTGCAATAAGTCTGATATCAGGATTACTTAAGATTAATCAAGGAACACAAATTTATAACCAGTCTTATCTCATGAGTTGTTTTTTATCAGACATTGAAATATCTGATGCATCTCTACACTCAATAATCTTCTCAAGAATATATATTTTTGTAATATCTTCTAACATGACACTTGAGAATATCTCTTTCGGCTCTATCAACAAAGTTAATTCTGGAATTATTTTTGGAATCTCTGAGGTTATTCTGTATGTAAAAAATGTAACATATAAAGACTCTTCTGCACTCTTTCTATTATCTTCTTCGTCTGAAGTTCACATCACAGCTATAACTTTTCAGAACATATCTCAAGTGAATTACTTATTGAATATTGGACGATCTGAAAAAGCTCAGTTAGATAATATTAAGATTATTAACTGTTCTGTGGTTTTAAACTGAGTTATTAATATTAGGAATACGAAAATTTTAAGAATCACTAATATGGTTTTATCAAACTACTCCAAAACATTATTTCTGGTGAGAAATTCAAATGTCAGCTTAATTTCTAATCTCCATGTTTCTCATTATTATAGAGCAATTGAAGCCATCAACACGAACATCGAACTTATCACTAATTCCAGTTTCTCGCTTTCTGGTGCTTCAGATCTCCTTTATGCTGGAGCTGTATTGCTCCAAAATAGTAATGCCACGCTGCTCAACACAACATTCACGCAGAACAAAGCAATGACAGGTGCAGCAATTACATCCCTTTGATCAGACAGCACTGACTGCAATGTTGCAATCAACAAGTGAGCATTTGAAAATAACTCAGCAACTGTCAAAGGAGGAGCCATCTATTACGATTACAGGCCCCCAGTGGTTGATACTAACACTGTGTTTGCAAACAACTCAGCTCAATATGGCAGAGACTTCGCAAGCTACCCTGTTATGGTTAGACTTGTTAAAGGCAACTCATCAGACGAGATTGTAATTGATAGAGTGTCACCAGGAATTGCTATTGATCAGCAAATCAGTCTCGCTTTGTATGATGGAAATAGACAAGTTATGACACTCGATAACTCAAGTCAAATCAACATCATGTCACAAACTCAGAATTCATCCATCAAAGGCATAAATGTTAAGAGAGTAATACAAGGAGCCGCTGAGTTTACTAGTTTGATTGCAGTTGCTGAGCCTGGAAGTTCCAATATCAAATACAGCATTTCATCTAAGACTATAGACAAAGTGAAAATTTACAATGCATTCAGAGACTCAGTTACTCAGCCAGGCATCACTATCAACTTCAGCTACTGCAAGCCTGGCCAACAAGTCATTGATGGCCAGTGCTACGAGTGACCAGCCGGCACTTATTCGTTTGTTTGGAACTCTACCAAGTGTCATCAATGAGAAGATAATGCTGCCTGACTTGGCAAGCAGCAAATGGAAGTTGCGAAAGGCTACTGGAGAAGATCTACAAATTCGACAGATATTGTGGAGTGCATTCAAGAAGAAGCTTGTGAAGGAGGATATCATCCAGAAAATGAGCATCCTGTAAAATGTGCAACTGGGTATACTGGGAAATTATGCTCAGAATGTAAAATAACAAAAGAAAAAAAGTATCATAAAATCGATTTATTTGAATGCCAAGTATGTCCTGATCCAATATTTAATGCAATTCGGGTAGTTTGACTAATTATTTTATTATTCGCTTTCTTTATGGTTATAATTATAACCAATGTTAGGAAAACAGAAGAAAGTGAGTTTTCAATCTTATTAAGAATTCTGACGAACTATCTTCAAATTATCACAACTTCTATGTCGATGACTACAAAATATCCATCATCCCTTACTGATACTTTCCTGCCTCTGAACCGATTAGGTGACTCTTCGCAAACATTTTTATCATTTGATTGTTTCATTGCTGATTATGAAGTCAAAGGCATATTCTCCTCGAATTCAGTTCTGAAGTTATTCCTAGTCCTTCTGCTTCCTTTGATAATTTTCTGCATTGTTGCTCTGATCTGGATTGGGGTAATGTTGATCAAGAAAGACTTGGTAAAAGATATGAAAAGGAATCTTACAATATCTTTCATAAGCATTCTCTTCATATTACATCCAAAGCTAACAGAGTCTGGCATTAACACTTTTAGGTGAATTGGTATCGATAAGAATACTTATGCGGCAAGGATAGATACTGATATTGGGTGATACTCTACAACTCATTTAAAATGGTGCCTACTCATTGCTACTCCAATTCTCTTAATCTGGGTGGTTTCAATTCCAGCTATAGGCTTGATAGTCTTATACAAAGCTCAGAAGCAAAATAACCACAAAATTCTTGCGTATTTTCTTATTCTATACCAAGGGCTAAAAGATGATAAATTTTATTGGGAATTTCTTAACACTTTGAGAAAAGTGTTAATTGTATTATCTTTCCTACTCCCCAAAATATATAAAATTGCATTCCCACTGATGATCATGATAGCTAGTGAGCGACTTGAGAGAAGATTGAAACCGTACAAAGAGGAAGAACACAACAATATAACCCTGCTCTCCACAATGGCTGGAATTATCACTCTAGATGCTAGTTATGTATATGATTTAGATGAGAAAATCAGCCACCTCAACTCATGAATTCTAGTTTTAGTAATCATATTCAATGCCAAGTTCATACTAGAGTGGACTTACTTATGTCTCAAATTATTCAGGAGCAAGTCAAAAGTCATCGAATATGTAAGCTTATAACCCCTCTTAGGATTCTATAGATTTTCTTAACTGTATCTAAGCTTCTGTGCAGGAAGGTTCAAGTCGAGAAATCTGAAGAAGAGCAAACCTCTCCTAAAGATTTCAAGAAAGTCCTCAAAGTTCCCCAAAAGCAGAAGAGTACTAAGTCAAGAAAGAAAAGAAGAAAGAGTAAATTTAGAAAAGCTAAGAAAAATCAAAGGTATATTAGTGTCACAATTTTAGGAAGAACAAGAAATCTGAAGTACCCGTTGAAGGTGCTACAAGTAAAGTTAACGATACAACCTTACGAGTATTCTTATATTGACATTTTAGGACTTGATGCACAAGTCAGCAAGTAGGATCTCGCTGGATTGTCAAGAAAACATTCCTCAAAGTAATGGTCTCTCTAGTTGAATAATTTCTTTCTGGTGATATTGCTGAATGATATACCTTAATTATTAGCTTAAGTTCGTCTGATTCTCAGTTAACTTGATCAAGTTTCTACCAATTTATCAATATCGATCTATTATTATTCATTTTTATTCGAGTTTACTTCCTTTGGTGTTCTGATAATTAATCAGAATCGCAAAACTATTCAATGAGCGATTATTAATGACCAATTTTGTAATTAAGAAATTGTTTACTTCTTTTATACCAGTAGAATTTTAAAATCTAAAGGAACAAGCTAAAAATACTGGTTAGGTATTTCCAAGAGATTCCTATAAAATAAACTATGCACCATAAAATGACCATTTGTAGATTTTAGACTCACTGTAAAAGTTGATAAACGATCTGAAAGATTGGAATCAGATATATGCAACCGTGAGTCAAAAGGGAGTTATGATTTCTCCCCTCAAAATCCTCAAAACCGTTAAAGAAAGGGTCTAACGATAAAATAAATAATTATTATTTGTTGGTATTTCAGCTCTCTCTAAACACCTCGGGGTTTTGGGGTTTTGGGGTTTTGGGG